CAGTGATGGATTCTGACAGGAGAGCAAGGCCGAGTCCATGTGTTCAGTCTTTGTGCCCAGAGAAGGTCGTAAGCTGTAGGGCCTTGGGCGGCAGAAGGGCACACGGCATCTTCTCAAAGACTGTCCCGAGGGGAGGAAGCGCTCTCTCTCTGCTGCAGTGAAAGGGCTCCAGCCTCACACGACATCTTGATGTTGGGTCATGATGTTTGCAAGTGTCAGTCACAGCGGGTATTCCATCTTCATCGTCTTATTGAGATGAGCAGTAGACAGCATCCTGCGCCAGTCTGTGCTAATAGAAGCAGACGGGTTATGGGGAGATCGTTTTAATTTTAGCTTTGCGTAGTCCAAACAGGCACTGCTTTACTTTTATCTCCTATTTTTTAGCAGGCCAGACGGAGGGGAGCAGAGGCCGTGCTCAGTGCGGACTCCGGAGTCAGACGGGTCCTGGCCACGGCGCAGCGTCGGCAGGCCATTCCCCTTCCGCACATCTCAGGTTCTCTACTGTAAAATGGGTAAAATAGAAGAATCGTTCTTGCCCCACAGGGCTGTCAGGAGAGCTAAAAGATAAACCCTCCGTAAATCGTGGTGACCACAGGACAGAGCTGGGTCTGGCTCCACCTGACTCGGGGGACCCTGTCTCGTCAACCACCGGCAACCTCTCCCGCCTCTGAGCTCCCAGATTACAGGGCCTTTCACCTTTGTCTCTGCAACCACAGTGGGTGGCACGTGAATGAGTGAATGAATGAATGAATGATTGAACAAATGCACTACCTGGATTCGCTCCAGCTGGGGGAAGCGGTTTGCCTGGAAAAGTAAAGATCAGATCATGAGAGCTCCAGTTGATGCCTCTCCAAAGGAGCAAACCCCTGAAATGGAGGAAACCACGCGTCACCCTCCCCCACCTTGTCAGGACTTGTCAGGATGAACTGTGATCCACGTAAGGAGCCCCGAGGGACCCTTGACTGATTCCGAGCACCTCACGCAGCACCGTCTCCTCCTCATCCATCATCCTTGAAGATTCTTAAAGAATGCACATATCAAGCTTGCTGTCACAACGTTTTAAAATGTTGCAGTAATTAAAAACCACCAGTAATTTCTGTTCAAACAGACGAGACTGTCTTTCCAAACCAGGGCAACGGGAACACCCACATGCCACGTGTGTGCCCGAACCCTCACATGCACACCCACACGCCCGCCCACTCTCGTCCCCCGGCACGCCTGGCTGTCTAACCCCGTCGTTCTCCCTCTCTCTTGCACACTTTGATGCCTCGTTATTCTCCTGGTCACGTCCAAAAGATGCCCAATCGCAGGCCCTTGATCTAGGACATGAGCACACTCTGCCTAGCCAACGTCACGCAGTAATCGCCGTGTCGGGGCTTTGCCCATCTCTCAAGATTGAAAAAAAATTCATCCATTCTCGAAATGGGCTTGACCTGGACAGACGATTTGGAATTGAGTAGACACAGGTTCATGGACATAAAAGGACCCACCACGGGGCCCCTTCAATCAGCGGCAACACCCCTCAGGAGTCCAGACTGGGAAAAGAAAATTCAGTGACCAAACAGAGGTTAATTTAGCAGTCGCCCCCAGGCACGGGCAGTTTCCATAAGTACACACTGGTGGAAACAGCAGCCCCTTCAGGCCTTTGGCCCAGTGCCTGTTGGGGAGAGGAAAACTTAGAAGACTCAACATGGGGCTCCTTTCGGCGCCCTGAGACCCACTGGGCAGCTGAACCAGAGGCCGGGGAATCGGGGTGCCCACTCTGAGTGGCCATCAGTAACTCCTTCTGAATTCTCATGGACATCCCAGGCTGGAAGGGTCCCCCGGGGCCAGCTCAGCAAGCTCGTCTCTGACGTGAGTGGCTGGCCAGCCACTGCTTGGACTCGTCTGAGGATGGTGAACTCACCCCCTCCTGAAGGTTCCCAGAAAGAGAATTGGAAAGGCTGTCTGCTGTTACTCTCCAGATCCTGGCAGAAACTTTACTCTTCGAGTCCTTGGCTCATCCTTCTCCCAGCAGATGAGGCTCGGGGCAGAAACAGCAGCTGGGTGCATACCCTTCAGTCCCAAGAGCTTAATTCACTGCATCTGAATTTATGTGTGGCTGTGGTTAGAAGGTTGCGATCACTCATCACTACTATTGTTCTTCCCTCTAGGTCAGGTCGTCAAGCACGTGCATTTGCAGAGCCCTAGGGAGAAAAGATGCTGGTCGAGCCCCGGCCCCTCTCCTAGGGACTGCCCACATCTGTCCCCAAGACACGTATGGACGTGAAGATACAGCACCGGGCCCATCTTACAAAAGCCCCATTGGTGCTCAGTGGAAAACGAACCCCTATCAACTGCCACGCATGTTCCGGCATGTTGGGGTTTTTCAACCAACTTGGCCATCTGTTGGATTTGAGTTATGTCCATGAGGCTCCATATTGTGGAAAGATGCCGGTGATGGGGACATCGTAGCCACCGTACCCTGAAGTTGCCACGCAACTGAAAGCATATTGTAGTGGAAGGAACAGCAGTAGGGTGGCGTGAAACGGTTCCTCCCGCCCCCGGGCCTGTTTTGCCAACCTGAGAGAACTGTGTGTGGCTCCAGCCCTTTTTTGCATGCATCGGGAGAACGTGCTATTTAAGGAAACCTGGTGGTGAATTGTTTCTATAAAGTCAGACCAGTGACTCCTCATTTTCCCCTCTATTTTTTTATTTTTGGAAATGGGTTTTGCTTAAAATCAGGTCATGTTTTGGTCACACAAAGAACGAGTCTGGTGGTGACCATCGGGGCATCGTTATTCAAATGAAATCTGTTCAGTGCAGCCACCACTTTGCTGGCTGTGTGACTGTGGGTAAGCACTTCACCCCTCTGTTACCATCCGTAAAGTGAGGCTAAGAGAAGCACCCACCCTACATTGTGGGGAATATTCAGTCCTGGTTTAAATAAAATGGGCTCGGGCTACATCATCACAAGCACCAAGAGCCCAGCTCTCTGCACAGCACAGGAAAGAAACTAGCGCTTCACAAGGTCAGGAGCTCTGGAGCCTGAGCTGGCTCCGGAGGTCTGCAGCTGCCTGGACCCACAGGGACGACATCCTGCAGAGTGTGAATGAAAAGTAGAGGGGAGAAGTGGAGGGCCACGGAGCTGGACGGTGAAGAGAGCATTTGGCAGTGATGTGCCTCTTAAAATTCTTGGCACACATTTGCCAGGATCCAAGCAATCTTGAAATAAAAAAAACCTAGTTGCTCAGTTGTCATAATGGGGATTTAAAGGATTTTTGTCCCAACTCCTAGGGCGTGGATTGGCTGGCTGGTTTGTGTCTCTCTCCTGGCTTTCCCTCTCTCTCTCTCTCTCTCTCTGTCTCCTTATATGGAATTCCTATTAATGTTTCCATCATTTTTCCCAGGTTGGGGAGAACGTGGAAAATCTGGAAGGAGGGTATTGGGAGCACGTGTTGGGGAGTCAGTCCAACTCAACTCCAGTCTGCCGCTCTGAGGCCTAAACTCTTCGCCTGCAAACTTGGGGTGACAGCAGTGTCTGCCTCAGGGGCTGTGGAGAGAACCGAGACAATGCCGCCAAGGTGTTTAGCCTTGCGTCTGGAGACTATTAAGCACATAACGAGCGATGTTTATCATGCCTGGTGGAAGCAGGGACTGCCCACAGTTAATTAATGAATCAAGCACAGCCACCGGTCCCTTAGGAAATGAGGCAGGTGACGTTTAATTATCCTGCTTGGAAGGGACAGAGGTCCTCGGCAGGCACCGGCTCTTCCCATTAGTTAAGAAGAACGAGCTACTTGTCTGGTTTGTTATAAGGAAACTCTCCACCGTCAAAATGGCTGAATAGCTCTGGGCAACTGGGCAGTGAGCTTTGCTAGGAGACCCAGTGGGGGGTTGGAGGGGTGCAGGCTGGACGTTTGGATTCTGTCTGTTTGGTTTGTAGCACTCGCCCTCTTGGCTCTAAGCAAGTTCATACCCTTCTGTCCTCAGCTTGTCTGTAAGGTGAGATTGGACTCCGAGCAGGTCACTTTATCCCCCTCTGTCCGTCCTCAGCCTTCTCATCTCTAGAGTGGGGGTGAAGTAACAGGGTCTAGCTTCTCAAAGAGAACTTAAGTGTCAATAAAACAAACATTCACATAGCACTTTCAACGTGCCAGGCACGGTTCTTACGTTTTACGTATTCTAACTCAAAGCCTTTTAATTCCAGACCTCTCTTGGTCCCAGGTCCCTGTGGCTGCAGCCTGCTCTCGAGTATCTGCAGTAACAGAGGTCACTCACGGCCCCTTAGAGCATCTCTTCAGGTGGAGGGACATTTTGACGGAGAGTTCTCCCTGGTATCCAGCCCAGATCCGCCTCGCTTTCACACCTGGCCATTGGGCCTAACTGGGTGCTTTGGGGTCCCAAGGAAGAGGTGTGCTCCTTTCCACTATTGATGCCCCGAGAGATTCAAAGGCAGCTACTGAGCCCCAAACACCCCTAGCCCGGAGCAGAGCGAGCTCTGCCCTCCTCTCACTCGCTCTGTGGTTGCTAACCAAGGGAATGGAAACAGATCGTGATAAAGGGGAGCATTTATTAAGCGCTCATGGTGTGCCAGGCCCCCAGCCGTCGTTGAATGCCATTCTCAGACCAACCTCACAGGCGCTGCTGGGGCCCATTTTGAAGGTGAGGACCTGAGTCGCCCAGAGGAAGGGACTTGTCCCAAGGTCGCACTGTTGACAAGCAGCAGCAGCTTCGGCCTGACTCCAAATCCCAACGCTGTGGAAACGAGGAGCGCCAGGAAAGCAGGGGAAGAGCAACCGGAGCCTCGCAGGGCGCGGGGCAGGGGGTTGGGGGAGACGCTCCTCCCCCCCCCCTCCCCGGCCGGGGAAGGAGGTCGCGCAGCCTCGGCCGGAGCGGACGAGCCGTCAGCACCAGGGACAGCTCCCGGGCCGCTCCCCGCCGCCCCCGACGACGGCGCGCGCGCTCCCCGCCGGCTCGGGTGCGCGCCCTCCCCGCCAGCGCGCGCCCCGCGCCCGGGACTGGGCTGGAGCCGCGCGCGTGCCGCTCGCACGGAGCCAGCCTGGTCGTCCGGAGCCGTGGCCGCAGCGGGAGCTGGCAGGGGGCTCCCGCCTGGGCACGCAGTCGCCTCCCGCGGACCTCCGGGGCCTCTCCAGCGCCCGCCTCGCCCGCCCGGCCCCAGCAGCGCCGCAGCCGTGGCCTGGGCATGAGCGGCCGCTACTAGCTGCGCCCTGCCCGGGACGGACGCCGGACCGCCCCGTCACGTGCGCCCAAGTCCTCGGCCGGCCGGGGCAGCGCCGTTCCCATGGTTCAAGGTAAGGGCCGAGCGGGCGCGCGGGTCACGAGGCTTGAGGGCAGAGGACGCAGGCGGGGAAGCCCCGGCTCAGTGCCCACCTAGTCTTGAGCGCCCGCTGCAGCCTGCCCCCGCCGCCTTGCGCCGGGTCCCTGCCCCACGCAGCTGCGGGGCCGGCGTCCCCCGTCCCGTCTCCGGCCGCCCTCAAAGAGCGCCTCTGTGGACGGAGACCGAAGTGGGCGGCGAGGGACGGAGGGAGAGGCCAGGGACCCACTGTGCCAAAGGAAGCCTCGTCTCTCTCCCAGCCCGGGCTTGAGGGAAATTGGGGAGGAAAGTTTCCCAGGGGAGGTGGCCCCCATTCTTTCTGCGGCCAGGAGCTGAGACTTTTCATTTACAGAGATTTGCCTTCTGTCAGACACTTTGCCCAGTGCTTGACCTTTGCATAATCATCCATTCCATGTGCCCAACACCCATGAGAAAGGGGGCATTGGCCCTATTGGACAGATGAGGAAACAGGCTCAGGGAATTTTGGTCACTTGTCCAAGCTCACATAGCCAATAAGTGGTAGAGCTGGCCTCAGCCATGCCAGCCTCTGTCACTGCCACCTGCCACCCACCCTTGTTTGAAATCTCGGCTTAAAGGGGGGAGGGGGAGCACCAGACTGGCATGTGGGTCTTCCAGCTGGGACTCTCCAAACATGAGAAATCCAGGAGAGACTTCCTGTCCACCTCCTGGCTCTGCCCTCTCACCCCACTCAGTGTCCTGTGCTCCCAAGGTGGGGACTTCCTGGGCCCAATGGTCCTGCCAGTGTGTGTCTCCTGGCTGCTGCTCTGAGACAAGACTCTCGAGATGCAAGTTCACTGACCATTCTCGGGGATAAGGGGGTGTCCAGGAGCCTTTGCCCCTGCTTTCCCCCCTTGCAAGTTCCCCAGGAAGCTGGAGCTGAGGAGAGCCAGAGAGGCACCCTGCCAGCCTTCCCCAGTGTTCCTTTCTTCCCAGGCCGGGCCAGGCTCTTGGGGGTTCCAGGTACAGTGACAACTTCCCACCCCCAAAAGTTCGGGCTTGCTAGGGAAGCATGCGTGCATATTCCCACTCTCCCCCTCTTCCAGTGGCATTGAGGGTGGAGCCTGGGTGACCAGGGGCCTTCCTACCTACCTAGGTGGGTGCGAGCCCCTCCTGGACTGCGGGAGGGGTTGGCCTGAATCCTTTGTGCACTGACTACATGCTTTCTAAAGGGCTCCGGTGCTGGGAACTTGGGAAGCATCTGTCCCGCTCCTGAGGCTGGGGCTCGGGCCCTGTGGGGCTTTGTTTATTCCTTCTTTCCTTCACTTGGCAGTGGTTTGTTGAGCACCGCACGATGGGATAAAAAAGACGGAGAGGGCGATCACTGTGCCCCGGATCCTGCTGACTTCTTGTCTCCCATCCACTGAGTTTTGGGTGGGGCTGACTGGTCCAGATTCACCTGGAAAGCTGGGAAGTGGCCTCCTGAAGGCCTCTTGAGGTTTTCCCAGCCTCAGTGCCCCGGGGGATGCATGGGGATGGGGTGGGGATTCTGGGGAGCATCGGCTGGCCTCCCCGGAGCACACTGACACCCTCTGCTCAGAGCAGAGGCCCATGGAGGTGCTGCAGCTTCTCCACTACAGAGCCCCTCCCAGCCTCTGAGGCTTCCAGCCCCTAGACACATCGTCAAACATGAACAAGGCCACTCAGGGGAAAGGTGGGCACAGCTGGAGGTGCCAAGACTTATCTGCCCAGTTCTGTCCACCTTTCTGGGTGACCTTGGACAAGTCACTCCCCCCTCTAGACTCAGTTTCGTCTGAGAAATGCTGGAGTGGATCCCATTATGCCCCCCATGAACCGTTGCAGCTCTGTTCATCTAAGCCGCAAGCCGAGTGGGCGAGGCTGGGAGGAGCCGAGGTATTGGGGAGTGTAGAGGGGTATTGGAACCTCAGGGCTGACCTGAGCCCATGACCCCAGTCCCGTCGACCCCACTCCCCACTCAAGTGATCACCCAGTTTTGCATGATTGGGGGCCAGCTGTAAGTGGCTGACTCCTGGTGCTGGTTCTATGTGAGCCACACAGCCTTGCAGCCCAGGCTACATGATGCCAGGACTCACTCCCACGGAGAGGCCTCTGGGCTCCTGCCACGCGGGCCTGCGCTGCAGAGTGATGGCAGTGCGATCCCGCTAGGAATTATTGCAGGCTCAGGAGGGGCGAGGAGTGGGCGGGGCTGCGGGAGAGATTACTTCGCAGTCAATTACCGGTGACTCCAGGCTCTCCAGGCAGGAGGCAAGGCAGAGGGCAGCGGGCCCTTGTCCCGTCCTCCGCACAGCTCCCGGCCCTGCCACTCTCTCCAAAGTAGCAAGTCCACGTCTGTGGGTCAGTAAAAGGCCATCTGTATGGCAGAGAGAGTGGATTTCAGGCTACCTCGGCCAAATCACTCAGCCTCCCCATGTGCGAAAGTGGAGATGCTTCTGCCTGCCCCACCAGCAAACTGCGGGTGACCGGGAAACTGCCGGCCCGAGCTGAAAGGGGCCCAGAGTCTGTTCACCGGGTCAGCTCCCCCGGGCCCAGGTGGCCGGGGTGCTTCTCAGCCTGGCTCTGCTGCTCTTCTCGGCGCTGGTTTTCCCTGCATTGTCTCAGTCCCTTTGGATTTGCTCCAGGGGGGTTGATAAGCCCGGCATCTTAAGTGTTTGCCAGCTCCTCTCCTTCCTCTGTTGAGCAGAGAGACTCCTGGGTGCAGGGTGCACTCATTTCTCCTTTCGAAGCTCTTTGTTCCTTTTGGAATTTGGTCCCCTCCCTGAGCAAGCTCAAGTTGGTGAACCTCCCCAGGCCTTGGCCCAGCCCCAAGGATGGAAGGCGTACAGGGAGAACCCTCCAGCTTGTCCTGGGGGGAGGATGGGCGAACCCCCGAACTCAGACTGAGGCTTGGGTTCCAAGCCTGGCTTTGTTGCTTCCTGGCTGTGGGACCCTGGGCCTTAGGCTCCTGGGCTGTGAAAGGGGGATGTGGCCCCTGCTTCCCTGGGGACCTTGGAGGATCAACCCAACAGTCCTGGTGAGAGCCCCGAGGCTTTGGAAGTGGGGAGTGGGTGGGGGTCAGATCAGGCCAGGCTCGGAAGCCCTGCTTCGTGGTGGGCTTTCTCCCGAGGTTCACAGGAACCACAGACAGCGTGACCCCGGGAGGGACATGCCAGGTCTGGTCCTTAGAGGATGCTCTCAGGCTGTAGCGTGGAGGGGCCCTTGGAGAGGGCGAGGCTGGAGGCTCGGGCGGAGGCGGCTGCATCCAGCCGGGAGGGAAACGATGGAGGCCCGGACCGGGAGAGGAAGCAGACAGGAGCAATGCAACAGCCGAGGCAGGGGTGTTGGGATGTGCGTGCTGGGGTGATGGGAGATGGCCAGGACTGAACAAATAGCGCTCCTATGACACTCCTCCACGTCGGGCCCAGGCAGACGCCAACCCCACCCGGAGACCCGGGCAGGGCTGGGTGTGCAGGATGGGCCAAGTGTAAGCAGTGAGGATGCAGCCCACGGGCCTGGAGAAGGGCTTTCTGTTCCAGGAGCAACACGGCCTGGCTTGATGTTATTCCCTGTCCTGTGGACATGCTCCCAGCCACCTTGGGGTGGGGGGGCTTCCATGGGCGTGGCCCCAGCCGGGCTGAGCCAGTCACCTGTACCCCTGTGCTCAGCTTCCCCAGGTGGCAGAGATGGGGGAAAGTTGGGCCAGTTGGGAGGCCCAGGTAGAGGCAGGACAAGGGCCTGAACAATGGTCCCAGAACAAGTGAGGCTCCCAGAGCTGTGGCCTCATCCACCGCATTCCCTGGCTGCTGAGGACAGGTTGGCAGTGTGGCCAAGTGGATAAGAGCATAGCCTTGGAGGCTGACCAGAGCTGTGTTTGTGTCCAAGCTGTGTGTCCCTAGTGAAGTTACTTAGCCTCTCTGGGCCATGGGTTCTTCATTCATAAAATGGCAGTAATAATATCTACCTTGTAGGATGTGCCAGCTTATGTCTCAGTCAGCAGAGCGGGGAAGGGAGTCCATGCACAGCTGAGCCCTGGCACAAACCTCCCTTCCAGGCCAGGTCCATCCTGGAGCAGTCCCCACTGGTGCTCACTTCCTGGCTCAGCCACATGGTGGCCTCCGGGCAGACTGGCGTTGGGGCTGCCCCTGACGAGCAGGGAAAAGCCACATTGTGGGACCCTACTGGCTCCTGACTACCACGTGCATCTTGCTTCTTCCCAACCAGGTCCTCGGTTTCTGCACGTGGTGGCCGTGGCAGTGGTGGCCCTCGGGGCACTCCCAGGCTGGCCCTGATGGCTGCTGGGCCTGCGGTCAGGCCCTGGGTCCCTGGAGAATAGTCATGTCTCTTTTATTATTATTATTTGCTCTATTTCGTTGCACACAGCGTGTAAGCAAAACCTAGGACAGGTGTGCTCCAGGTGTGGTCCGCAAGCCCAGCATCCCTGGGAACTTGCTGGCAATGCAGATTCTCGAGCCCCCTCCAGGCCTTCTGCCTTAACAGGCTCCCCAGGTAGCTCTCATGCTCAGTGGAGTCTGAGACACAGCATCCTGGAAAACACCCCTACCCCACACAGAGCAACGGTTCCCCCTGCGCCAGGCCGTCGTTGGTGACTGTCTCCTTCATGCTTCTCGTGTTTTTAATTAATATACATTAAGTTTAATATATATTAAAGGGTTTTCTAAGTAACATAAATGCATGCTTGTTGTTAGAGAAAACCAACCAAAAAAAAAATCCAGCTTTGTTTGTTTGACTGTTTTGCACAAAGTCAAAGCCCCCATGCCCGGCGCTGTGCGTCGTTCGCGTGTCGCCGGGCATCGCCGAGGGCCTTCTCTGCCCGTGCTCCTCTCGTCCCTTTAGCAGCAGGTCTTGATCATCCTCCCACTTCGGCGCCCCGTCCTCTCCTTATTGACCTGGACCCATGTTGATAAACGGGTGAGCAGGCTGTCCGGGTTTCCCTGTTTGTTGTGTGGCTTTTGTAGATTCGTTCGGCGGTGTGATCAGCTC